TAAAATTGCATTAGCAAAATACTACTTTGCATCTCTGAACAAAAGCAATCAGTATTTATTCCTGGCTTTATTTCTTTATCATTCAATAACTGCTTGTCTACAGATTAATAACATTTGCATATTGGCTTTCATCAGCACATTAAGAGGCACACCAGTCAACCACCTCAAAGCAACCTCGGTATAACAGTGCACAGCTCTCCAGCCAAAGCAAAACTTGAGCTGGCACAACCTGACATTGCCACAGCCACCAGCTTAGGACTCCAGCTCTGCTGGTGGGAAAGCAAGCTGAGCTATTATTTGGCATTAACATGAAACCTGTATTTAAAAGAATGGGGAGATTAACACATATGTCACACACATACAACCACAGTTTACTGTTTATGCAATCATTCTGTTCTGTTAATAATGATCTTTATTCTGCACAGTATTTTCAGATGTACTGTTACAGTTCTGAAACTGGTATTTTTCATCCAGCTTGCTTTCTAAATATACTAGCATGAATCTGCTTTTCCCAGATGGATGTACTAAAGTAAATAAGAATGTAAATTTTTTATGGATCTACTATTTTTCTACTAACTTGCTCCATTTATCCCTTTTAAAACTTTGAGAGTGGAATACAAAATCTTGGTAAGTGCCTTTACAAGCAGTAACCTGAGTTGATACCATTTTGGATATTGCAGCTACATCTCTGCTCTGCTACCAGTAGGGTTTTTTTAATTATTGTTATTCTGGTTTGGCCAGCTAAAAAAGCATACCTTTATATCCCCAGGCAATATGCCCAGTAAAAAAAGAGATACATAGAATTCTCTCTTTTTAATTTTTTTTAAAAGAAACAGAGATGCTAAAACCAGGGTTACTTTGACAACACTGTTGTCATCCTTATCAGCCAAGTGACTAAGAAACCAAAATGCTTAGAAATCAGCTCACATTACTTGGAATGGCTTCAAACTGAAAGAGGGCAGGTTTAGATTAGATATTAGGAAGACATTCTTCACTGTGAGGGTTGTGAGGCACTGGAACAGGTTGCCCAAAGAAGTTATGGATACCCCATCCTTGGAAGTGGGACCTACATTTCCTAAATGCATGAAAATAAGTTTAATACTTTCTTATGAATAAGGCATTTAGCCATTATAAACCAGAGTGACCCTTCCAGGCGTGACTGTCGGTCTGACCCAGTAATTCCCTACATTAGCATTACTACCAGGCTACCTTAGAGGATAAAACTCCTTTCAGAACAAACTGTCAGCTCACTTTTAGGGCACTGCAATGAATTATAGGCTCTGACATTGATTCGTAGATCTTTAAGCTCGTCAGTGATTTGCTGCATTCGATGGCTCTGGGTGCAGAGTGCAAAAACAGAACATGTCACAACATTGAGTATCTGACTCAGTATTTTCCCATAACTGCAATTCTTTTTATGGTGAGGATATGGACTATGATTCATATCATCTCCCACAATCCTTTCTTCATAATACATTGTTTGAACAAGCACAAATTATTTGTAGGTTGTCACTGCCGTATCAATTTCAGTGACAGTGTTGCAATATTCTAAAATAAACAAATAACAACACACCCATCTATAAACATGGATAGCTATAACACAACATAATACAGTGGGAAATACTGGTCAGAAATATCATATCATAAGCTGACATATTTGCCCTTGTAACGCTCTTGGTTAGCACCCTAAATTACTTACTATTTCAGGGCATTTAACAACTCATATTCCTTACTGACACCATCATTTCTCTAAAAGGCATAACGTTTTGATTGGAAAAGGTGCTTAAGTGAGCAGACTGCTCCAGTAACGTGAGTGAGCCCTCAGGAGTAAGAAAAATAAAGTATATATTTTTCATGCTTTGACATATTTCACTTCTCGCTAAACTTCTCTTGCTCTTGGAAACCACACAAATTTGGAGAAATGTATAGTCAGATTAAAATATGGAAATTCACAACCAGAACACAATGACAATGCCTGTTACGTGTTTGCAACAAAATCGGTTAGTTCCATACCTTGACATATTAGCCCAGGGAAAGAAAGAATATTATTCAGCCAGATTTGCCTGCAACAAAGTTCACTGCCACGTAAGCAATGAGCTCACGGGGATGCGTTCCCTTCCCGTCTTCCAGCAGGATTATCTGAGGTCATGTTGATTGAACAAGCAGAAAGTTCTAAACATCTACAGGGACATGTAGTGATAGGACAAGGGAGAATGGCTTTAAACTGAGAGCAGGCAGGTTTAGGTCAGGTATGAGGAAGAAATTCTTTGCTGCGAGGGTGGAGAGGCCCTAGCACAGGTTGCCCAGAGAAGTGGATACCCCAGCCTTGAAAGTGTTGAAGGTGAGGCTGGATGGGGCTTTAAGCAACCTGATCTAGTGGAAGGCGTGCCTGCCATGGCAGGGGAGTTGGAACAAGATGATCTTTAAGGTCCCTCCCAACCCAAACTACCCTATGGCTATGATTCTATGATCTACATACACCCATTCCATATGACTGTAACCAAGGGTGACTGAAAACAAACTGATTTTAACTGGTAAGTGGTTACCAAGTGGTCTGGTGGGGGGGTTTTCCAAAAAAAAAAAAGAAACTGAGAGCACATGAAAAAATTTTCCTTTGTGATTCCATGGTATCTGTAGGACTGAAGAATTTTTAGGCTAGGTAAAGCAACAGGGATTTTGTTGCATCTTTATAATTTTGTCTAGATTTGTCTTTTTAAGCTTTTGGTGGTTTTAGCTTTTTTTTTTTTTTTAGGCTAAAATAAGAATAATTTTAAAAACCAAGAACACAATGACAGCAAAAATGAACCACGACATTTGAGAAATTTGCTATTCAAAGGACAGTGTTAAAAATCACAATATGAGAGAGTCCAGCTGAGAAACAGAAAAATGGCCAATAATTACGGGGGTAGGTAAGAAAACTAAAACCTGGGATGAAAAGATAATGTTACAAGGATTAGTCATAGGAAGTACTGAGGTGAAGAGCTAAAAATGTGCTTAGACATAAAATTTGTGTCTGAAGGTGATATCAAAGCTGTGCTTGCTCCAGATGTCATTTAGCAATTGTCAAGCAAAGAATATAAAATGATGTCATTTTAAATTGTGATAGAGTTCAGGATACTCCATGGTTTAAAGAAGCTTTCACTTGGATATAGATGAAAAAGTCTAAGTTGGAAAAAAAATTCCTACTTCTTTGCCTTCTCCATAATTTACCATACATTTCCATGTAAATATTTTTACAACGTGCTTTAGGAGAGGTGTAAACTGAAAAAAACATACAACCAAATTAAGTAAAATAAGTAATGAGTATAAGGCTAGCAGTTTTTAATTATTAAATAAGAGCACTGCTTGGGAGATACAATGAAAGACGCAATAAGGAAACAGCATATTTTTTCAGGGTATTAAATTATTCCACTCAAGCTGATCTTTTGAGACATCTGTATTGGAAATATACAGAGGTTAAAGAAGCACCTGGTTCTTAATTTTATCTCTGTATCCATAAATAAGTACTTGTTTCATGAGGAGCACTTTTTGTATGGATCCAGGCAGGGCTTTTGCTCGCTATGGAACATATACTACAGCAGCTTCTATTATTATTCATTAGGGTATAAAGCAGCTCTTTGTTCTGTTAGTAAATAGGATCCAGATGCCAAGAGACCAGCTCATGGTGAAGTCATAGTGTCTTTGATGCTCAGAAAGCCACATACCAGCAAATTAAAGCCTTCATATAGTCCAAAACTTCAGTAGTGTAAGGCACTAAGTAGTACAAGCTCATAGAGTCTAAAAATTAAATACTTCACAGTTTAACAAGATCACAACAGCTAAAAAATATGGAGAAAGAAGACAAAAAGGCCATTATTTTCTTGTGACCTACTGAACAAGGAGGTTCAGAATCAAAACTACACTGAGAAGTTAGCAGCATCCACTGACTCTCATGGCCTGAGTTTTCTCTTTTGCCCTGCCCAGTCAGCTCACCTGAACAGCCTCTTCTTACAGGTGCTAGAAAGGAGGGGAAATATATTTTTCTGTCAGGACTGAAGCTCTTTCTCTGCTTGAACCCAGGGAATCCACACAGACCTACCATTAGGTGTTCCCCTCACTATTGCACAGGATCCTTTGGAAATCTATGCTCTTCCCAGACACTGACAAAAACTGAATAAATACCATTTTTTCCAGAACAAGTATCTAAAAATTTTACATTAGAAAAGCTAAGACTGAAAGGACATGAAAATTTTCTCACAGACTACATTTATTATGAAAATAAATGAAGAAAAATGCTGCAATGCTGTAGCAAGAACAGATTCTTATTGCACTCATAAAGTAGAAATACATTAGGGAGGTAATAATTATTATTTGCTTTTCTTGACTGCAGGCATAGGTATTCTAAATAACACAACCATACACTGTCATCATGTATAAGCATTTTGTAACACAGCTAAGTCTAACACACAGTAACAAAATGGGCAAGGAATACAGAAATATCAACAGTGTGAGAGGAAAAATAGGGAAGAATGGCTTTACCCACAGTGGTTCCACCTTCCCTCAGCAAAGAGTTCTATGGCCTGATCATCTCAACCTCAGTGACTAAGACTGAGGACCAAATCCATCAGCACTATCTATGGCTCTGTGGCACTACCATTAATTTAGGATAAGCTTAATAAGTAAATAAGACTTGACTGCTCTGAAGTGGTGATAATTATTAATAAAATTTACAAACTAAGCACTGGCAAACTGTATTATTGCTAATTGTCACTCTAGTATAGTTCTGTTTGAAGCTTCAAAGTGGCCTGATTTATGAGACTGTAAATACTCTCATTGCTGCAATCTTTCACGCTCTTATTCTCTAACTTGCACATACTTATATTCACTTGCAGCTGAGCAGATAAAAAACATTGCTGTAAAATAAATTGTGAAAATACTGAAGTTTCAGGCTCAGAAACAAATTTTCATCTCACCAAAGTTTACAAGTTTGCATTCCTAGAATTCAGAAGGAAAATACTCACTTTTTTACCAGCAGTTCTGTCAAATCTCAAAATGTCAGTAAGAGACCTTTTTAGTAAGTTTTGATCTTCTACCTGCAATATAAGTATCAACTGAACCCAAAACAGAATTCAGCAGCGTCTCCTGTGCTTTGGGACTCCACATAACAGCAAAAGCCACCAAGCATTCCACCAGGGTCCATACCCAGAGGGGCTTTGTTGTATAGCACACCTATTTCCCATTAAACAATCATACCTCCCTCCTCAGGCATTTCTCTATCCCACTCCAGGGCACCTCTATCTCCCTTCACACCTCCCTCCAAAATGCAGAGTCTAAAGCAGTGGATTCACAGTATTCAAGCATCTGTGCTGTTATTCCCCACAGCTATTGCCTTATGGCTTAGCATAAAGTGGAAATTTTACATAACAGTTTACATAATTGTTTTAGAAAAGCATCAATAACATTGTGGGAACAGGGGTTTTTTACCAGGCAGGTCTAAGGAATTTAAAGAGAGAAAAAATATTATTACAGATTAAAGTGTGTTAATTTAATCTCTAAAGGTCAGGTTAAACCTGCAGGATACAGGATATCTGCTGTCTTACACCAGCTTACTTTGCTTCTGAACTGACAGAGCTTTTAACACGAAGGGAAAGGAGAATGTAAGTACAACTGTGACAACATAGAGCAGTTTCCTTGGAGAATGAAGTCAGCCCCCAGATTTGTCCTGTGGTACACCACCAGTACAGTCTTGCTGCAAATCTCTGGAAAGAATTAGCAAGTACTGCCCCTTCGCACTCTCACCCTCACACCTCTGCTCAATTCATGAGCACGTTCTTCCACAGGCACGTTCCTTTCTACAGCACTCACTCCATTTGCTACAGTGGTAGAAAAGAGAACGAGCAGGCTGACTTATCACTCCTGTCTGGGGCTACACGGTGTGGCTGCTTGTGGCTCAGAGCCAGTGTGCTGCCAAGAGTGCCCTCGGCATACCTCCAGGACAGCGAGGGAAGAACACAGCAAGTAGTAAAGAGTTGAAAGTTACACAGTTTCAGAAAGTTTGCTCTATTGTTTATGCTATTTCCTGTGCAGCCTGTAGTTGATCATGACCCTGTTTACCCTTCTGTGCAAATGATATTTTAATGACAAGTTATGAATAGTAAGTGATTAGAAATAGAGAGAATAAATGAATAAAATAAAATAAATTAATGAAAAAATAAAGGGAAGAGAATTTCAGGGGAGAAAATGCAGAGCTTTGCTTACTGATGCTTTTCTCTTGCTATATCACTTGATTCATTTTTAAATGGCTCCCAAAACACTAAAGAAAAACATGCAAAAAAGCTTTACACTGCAAGTGTGGTGGGGTAGTTGAGCAGATATTTATTTCTTGCACCTGCTCTTCTCCAAAAGGTCTCTTCCACTTAATACACTCCATCAATGCTGTTTACAGAATGCTGTTGCTTTATTTTGAAAAATCTGCAAATGAATTCTGTTTAATTCTAATGCCAATACAAAGGTCAGCAGTTTCTGCATTCCGTATTCCTTTAGAATTAGGTTTCCTATTTGAAGCAGAGAAAAAACTGTTAAAGAGAATGCATGTTTCCTGCTTTTAGAGTCCTCCCCACGCACAGCAGCAGCAATAAAAAAACAAAACCCAAACTCAAACAGGCACAAGGAACTGTTTCCAATTAAATTTGTATCAGAGTGGCATTGAGAAAGAATGCGATAGCAGCGAGAGCCCAAGGATACAGGAGGTCAACTTATACATAATTAATTTGTTAATCTTCCATGGCATTTCACTGAATTGTGTTATTTTCTCAAATATATCCAAAAGTATGACAAGCTGTCTTTCCAAGTGGCTTTATGTGCCTGTGCTCCGCATTCTGTATTTCAATAACAACTAGAAAAGGATGATGACAATTTAACCACTTTTAAACATCTCTCCTAGCATTCTGGGATTGTTTACTTTGCCATATGCTATTTAATAGCACATTTCTGTTCAATCAGAATGTTCAATCACAAGAATCTAAAAATACCAAATGGCCTGGGTTTCTTTTCACTAAGAAATCACAGAAAACTGACTCTTTAGAAGTAATTAATGGCAATCTCTATGTTTGATGTTACAGGTATTTTCAGTGTTTGGGGTTTAGTTAAAAGTTCAGAGGAAAGAACGCAAGCCTTTCGATTCTTTTAACAGGTCTGCATTGTTTGTTTTACTAATTATAAACTAAAATTTGTTCAAGGTGTGCTTTAAAATGCAGAATTAGATAATTCCTTATTACAGTGTTAAAACTGTTTTGTGTGCTGAATACTGTAAGGGAATCATCATTTACAATGTGACAGATTTTATGAGGAACACACCAATAAATGTGTGCCAATAAGGTACTCTTGGCCTGCTTTGCTATTTTGTGTGACATTTTGCTGCCTTGTGTTTCCCAAACACTCTATGAGAAAATAACAATTATCAAATGATTTTAAAAAACATATATGAAAGAGAAGTTGTATTATAAAGTGGTTTTATTTAGGTTGTAAATGGTTAAACACGTATTTAACTGAAACAATACTCCAGCTCAGAAGGCTCTTGGTCTGCAGGAAGTATCAAAAGAAGAATCTCGCTACAAATACGAGGAGCAAAACCTGTGCTTCACTGAATAATATGAACAATACAACAGGAAGAAACTGATGCTGACCTTGAACATACAAAAATATCTAGTGCTCTGTGTCAGTGCTGACTATTGGGATGATGTTGGCCTACATTAACATTTGATTACCTTTTGGCACTGTTTTTAAGCTGAGCCAAGATAACATTCATGTTTAAAATAGAACCATCTAGGCGAAAATCAGACAAAGGAAGAAGACATGAAATAAACAACAAAATGTACTTAAATTTAGATGGAGGACATATGCTAAATATTCATCACAGAGTATTTATTTATGATAATAGCAGTTTTCTATTATCAGCTGCTGCGATCTTTTTTTATGCAAAATGTGAAGTTAAATAAGGGGGTTTTTATTACAATTCTTACCTGATAGCTATTTTCAATACTCCCTATAGCTAATACTAGATGGTAGAGATAGTATAATCAGCATGTAAGTGCAGCAAGTGAAGTGTATGTGAGAGAAAAGAAGCATGGACACACAAATTTATCACATGGCTTCTTCTCTGAAAAGGGCCAGTCCAAAAGTGCGCTTTCCCATAATTTAGTATTCTTTATTTTATAAATGGTAACAGGAGAGTACGTGGAAAGATCTGCATTCAGAGTCAGTTCCAGTCCAATTAACAACAAAACAATATTGTAAAGCAATGTATAGTCCTGACATATGTAAAACCCTACCCTATGTGCTTCGAAAAGGGAAGGAATAAAATTGCTTCATCAAGCAGATAGATTCAAAAGCTTAAGAACTAGCTATTGGCAATCATTCCTGGATTTTCAAATAAAAGGTCAAATCCATATTTAGCCTTTCATCTTCTTCATAATATCTTTCTATGAATTCCAACCCTCCTTTAGTAAAACACAAAACTTGAAAGGTCTGGATTAATGTTAGTACCACAACACTCCAATTTTCCAGTAAATGTATACATTATAACAGCCATAGAATATTGGTACTAGTTCTCTAGGGAGGCAAAACCAGGGTGCCCTGTTCCTGCTTTCATTAATATCCTTCAGAAGCTCCATTTGCATGGTATTTGCCAACTTCAGAGTCAAAGGTATTTGGGGTTCATCTCTGTATTAAATTAGAAATTTTCCTCATCATCCTACACATCCTACAGTGAAGTATGAGTACATCTAGCAGCTTTTTAATTAATCTATTGCATTTTGGAGATACCTACAAGGCTAATTTAGTATCCACATTGTCTTCGTGTAGCACATTACAGTTACAACCTTTGATTTTTACTACAGCACTGGAGTTTTCATAAGCAGCTGAAGAAGATGAAGGCTTTAGTCAGGAATTACTTGGATTGTATCTCAGATGCATTTTCATAAGAATTAAACAGAAGTTCATTAATGAAAAGTAAAACTGTACTTAACATTACTAGAAAAACTATACATTAATTCATATGAGATCTCAGCATTTAATGGTGTATTCCATCAGTGGATGCTCAGGGAGGTATCCAGGGGACAGTTACATTGCCTAATTTTACATACTTAAATTAGGTACACTGTTTAGCAGGCCAGCTATCCAATACAAAAAGGCTCCCACAAAGGACTATACCAAAAAAATACAAAAAATCAGACCAGCACAGATTGTTATTCCTTATGCTGATTTCCACAAGTTTGCCTTTAGTACACCTCAACTTCTGGTTACTCACTACAGAGGCTCTAAATATCCATGCAGGTATCTGTATTCCTTAAAGTGATGTTCCACCATACTGCTCACTGAAGTCCTGGGCAGGTTCCTCTTCCTATCAGTAGGGTTTCTTTCTGATCTATCAGCTGCTGTACAGCTGGTCTGCTTGAAGTCTGAGTAGCAACTGATACTGCCTTGAGCAAGGGTCATGAACAGAAAGCAGTGCTAGGAGGACTACTGTGTGAGCTGCTACTACGGAAACAATTACCAGAACTAATAATGATTGGCCCTTGGGGCATGTATAGCTAAAAATCAACTGTAATGGCAGCTCAGGTACCTTTTATAGCTAGATTGTCTAAGCTGCTGCAAGATACTACATGATGATGTGAATACCTTTTTCTCACCCTTGGCAAAAAAAAGAATGTTGTTATTGTGGGAGGATTCTTACAAGAACTCATAAAATAAAAATTTTTCACTACTGAGGGACAAGATCTCTGTGGCTTCCTTCTTCCGTCATCAAGCATTTCAGAGTCATTGCAAGAACCAAGAATACTCTGTAGAAAAGGCAGCTACAGTGTTACTTACACCATTTCCCTCACTCAGTCCCTCTTCATCCTTTCAGAGACACCTCTTAATTCCTTTTTTTTTAATGGGAGAGGCATTGTTGTGACTGTTGGTGGAATAATTGTTTCAGGAAGAACACTTGAATTTAGAAAGCCATTTTTTCTTTTAAAAAGAAGGCAGCTGATACACTGTAACTACACAACTAAGAATGCATGAACGTTAATTTCAATGATTCCGTAATTTT